AGGAGGTACATGCCCCGCAAAAAGAAGAGCTTTGCAATCCCAGGGCCAAGTCGTTTCTCTTCCCGGCTGGGGCCAGATTCTGCCCCACCATCGCCATGTAAGGACCGCTCTCGGACAACCTCACCACGCCGTTTCAAGACAACCAACAACTGGGGATGGGTAAGTACAATATTTTCAATCAGGTTCGAACTTCCACACCGGGCCAGGCCACAGGTCTGCAGTCGCAGTTAACTCAGACCCATTTCCACACTGAAATATTTCTGTTACAATTGGCATGAGCACAGCAACCAGAAACCCTGCCAGAACCTTCTGCGATTGATCCAGGGAATCCCAGTGTTCACACCTTGGCCCTTGAACAGCAACAGGACCAAGCAGCACGCCCGCAACAGGAACACATTCGGTCAGCTGAAATGACGCTTCAAGCCCATACAAAGGAATCCAAGACCCAGCAAGGGGAAAATTAAGGGGAGACACAGTCACGAGAACAAGCAGAGGCCACAGCCTGGGAACGGGCTCAGGCCCAGGCTTGGGAACAACAACAACAATAGGCACAAGCTGATGGCCGAGCCCGGGCCCAAGAGGAGACGCGGTGGACAGAGCCCTAAATTTTCAGGAGGGGTTTTTTCGGGGTCATTATAACAAACGTCCCACACCTTTTAAGCCAGACTTGTGACCAGTCCAGGGCCGCTTGTGCCCAACAAGAGGAGGCCCAGGCCCAGGCCCAGGCCCAAGCTCAAGCTGAGACCTGGGCCAGAGAACAGCAGCAGAGAACACAAGCAGCAAATTGGGCCCAGGCCCAAGCTCAACAACACTGCAAAGAGTCGCCAGCCCGAGCCCAAGCTGAGGAACAGGCCAGAATACAAGCCTATGAAGTGAACCAGCAAGCCCAAGCTCAAGCTCGGGCATGAGCATTAGCGCAAGCGGCACAACAAAGGGCAAAGGCAGAAGCCAGGGCACCGGCCCAATGGCAACAGGCTCAGGCACAAGCATATGCCCAAAACCTACAGCAGAAAGCAAAGGCTGAAGCCACGGCCCATGTGCATTCTTACAGACAAGGACCTCCCATGGGACCCGGCCCTACTACCGTCTTCCCCCGAACATAACGGATGTGCATTGTATTGGATGTATTCGAGTAAAATTCAAAAAATTCAAATAGAACGCATATGCGTTTTGTATTCGCATATGCGTTATGTTCGGGTGAAAACTGTAGTGCTGGGAAATGCTGGAAAACTCCGCACTATTTGCAGCATTTTCGAAACAACGCTGTTCCAGTATACTAGACTGCAGGTCCTGGTGACGGTTTGGAGGGCCAGATGCTCCCTAGAACACCAAGCGCACAGCTTTGGATATCTCCAGGCCAAACGCCACATCATACTGACGTTGAGATCCGATGTACACAGAGAGTCTGGTCAGCCCTGCAGGAAAAACTGACATCAATCCCTTATAAACCACAACAACAGAAGAGGGAAGTAGATTCATTTGAACAAACCTGACTGGACCCGGGACGGGAAATGGCCGAGTTGGATAGCGACAACAGGAAACTCAAATGGAAACAATGGCAGAAAAATTGAGCATTGCTGGAAATGGAGGTCGGTACACAATTTTGCACTAACTCTGCCTACAGACGGCCTCCTCCAGGCCCCTTCCTGTACTGACAACCGGCTGCATCCTCCATACCCTTTACATACACCCCCACTATCCCCCTCCTACCAGACCCCCCTCCTGAGATCCCCCACTGCCTGTGGACTCCACCGTTCGCCCCCCCGCCTCCTTGCCATCACAACCCCCCCCC